GCACGAAAAAATCTTCAAGTTCGTTTAAGTTAGGGTTGCTCAAGGAATTTTTTTATTAGAGCGCTAAAGATAGCATCTAGTATAGTAATACTAATACACAGACTACTTAAATAGACAAGTGGTTTTAATGCAAATTTTTGAGAAATTATCGATTTTTTCGTTTTGCTTTGATCTTCCTGATTGTATAACGTTACTTCAAAGCGAGACTTGCTATTGGATAAGCAATGTAGATCTTCATGTGACAGTAAATTTTTGCAAATCTTACGTTTTTGATACTTTTGCACTTAGTTTTTTTGATACACCTAAACATACCCTAAAACTAACAAATAGGACTGCATGTTTTTATAATAAAACTTTAATAAAAAGTATAAAAATTTTAGGATATGTTTAGGTGTATCAAAAAAGTAAATGCAGGGTTATCAAAAATGTAAGTTTTGCGGATAACAAAATTTTTACTGTATTAGACAAAATTCTTTAAGTTCGTTTATGCTAGGTTTAGCATAGCAGAAGTTTGTTTTGAAGAGGTTCGTTAATGCTAGGTTTAGCATAGCAGAAGTTTGTTTTGAAGAGGGTGTGGCGACTTAGTGTAGTGGTAAAGTTGTCGCACCCCCAAGTGGCAGTGATCAGAGTTCAAATCCCACCAACGGCGAAAAATTTGAATTCCCGAATGTGTTATGGCAGACTGTGAATGTAATCAGACAGATTGGTATCTGTAATTTGGTCATACCAGTTGTACTGGGAGGCTGTGGAACGTAGTGTAATGCATGAGTTACACAAAACCCAAGTGAAGCAGCTGTGTAAATCCAGAGTCTGCATACACGAGAGCCTACTTGGCAAGACCCAAGTAAAGAGGTAGCACAAATCTTTAATGAAGGATTATCAACCAGGAAACCTGAAAACCAAATGGGACCGAAGTGTTTGGCAAGGCACTTCACCAACCTGGACCATGGAGAGTAACTAGAGGAAAAGGATCTAACTGTGGGGACCAAAGGCAGGTCACAGCCCTTCTGGGCCATCTGGATTGGAAGTTTGGGATGACGGGTGTATAGGTAGATAGTCTGTATAGTGGGTGCTGTGGTTTGGATGAACTTTATAAGGGCAGTAGTAGGTAATAGTAGCAGTTTTGGCTTGTTCTCAGACTTGGCGTAAGTTACTGAAAGTCTAGGTCAGCTGGATTTATAGGTATAAAAGGTTCTAGCAGGTTTACCTCAAGGATAAAGAGTTCATAGAAATCTGCTTTAAAGTCCTAAGTCGGGTGTCTGAAAATAAGGAGAATTACATATCCTTGCTCAGTTAGATAATTAATGTACATAGGCGCAGAAAGTTTAAATAAGTAACTTGATAGGGTTATAGGTACAGCAGCTAGTATAGAACCTTTGGGTGTTTACTTAAATAGACAACCAAAAGTTGCACATGTGTTAGAGAAGACTTGATCGTGCCTCGATCGCAAGTATTAGAGAGTCTTGTAAAGATTTTTCAGCCAAATTATAACCATAAAAATTATTATGTTATTACTGGCGAGCATGGCACTGGAAAAACAACGTTGAGCAGAATGGCTGCAAAGAAAGTCGGGCGAGGAGTTATATACGTTGATATCAGGGAGAATTTAAATAATTTGAATGATTTGGGCTACGATCTTGGTAAGCTATTAATTTCAAGGAATGTATTTCTTTAACAGGACAATTAATGCGGAACATTAAGGGCTCGGATAGTAGTAATATTTTTATTTTTTTTATTATTATTATTTTTTTTTATATCGACAGTTAATGACTTTAATCAGTTTTTAATCGCAATTTTTCTTTGTATAGTTCGGTTTGAGAATTATAAATGGCGAAGTGCTCTGGATGCTTTTAAGCGTGCTGCTGCTGCGTATAAAAAGAAACATAAGAAATTGCCAGTTCTTGTATTTGATAACATAAGCATTCTCAATATAAGTCATCCAGAAATTATTGATATTCTTCAAGAAAATGCTAAAAGAAGTGCTGATATGTTAGAATACACTATAGTATTTATCACTAGCGAAGGATCGGTCCTGAATAGGATGAGAGGTAAAAATATAATTTTGAAGCAATGTAAAGGATTTCAAGTGTTATTGATGGACTGAGTTATTATTTTTTTAGAACGCAGCGCCTGGTCGCGAGCAGGTAATCCAATAGTGGAAATCGGAGATGTTACTGAAGGTGAAGCTATAGATTTTCTAGTTAATAGACACAAAGTATGTAATGATGCAGAAGCAAAAAAGTTATATGAATTTATTGGAGGACGTATTTTGGAGCTGCATTATGCAGCTGAAGATATTCATAAAAAATTATCCTTTGAAGGTAAGATATTTACACGAACGAATTATATTGCTTGTTTTTGATTAATTTCTTTTTTTGACACGCTTCTGCAGATATCAAACAAAACACCTTTGCAGATATCAATATTAAGTTTCGTGCAGCAAAAATCATCCCAGGACAATCAAATCACGAGAAAGCAAAGCCACTCTTAAAAGCTTTGTTGGAGAATAATGATAGGGGAATTAATTATAACTTACTTCAAAAAATGGTTAAAGACGATACATTTTTGAATGAGCTGTTAGCAGCCAACGTACTAACATATCATCCTGCAACCGATACTCTCACCTTCTACAATCGTTCCATACGATGGTATCTTCGGGAAAATGATGAAGAATTCAATATTACTGACAAGAAATGATGGTTTTTTTTTAAAATTAGATTGTATCAGTAGGAGAAATCAATAAAAACCTTCAATATAAAATGTGATTTGCGCAATTCGGAATAGTTGAGCACTTATATTTCTTTTTGACGATTCACCACTTTAAATTGTTACCTACTTTATTTTATTATTTACTCTTTAAACAGAATTAAGTACAATTAAATTATTATGCAATTACAATCAACTAAAATTGTTAAAAAAAACAATTACAAAACAATAAAATTCTATAGTTAAGGCTCTATAGTCGCACCTTTGTTATGTAAAAATGGTGATTACATAAAGATGTGATTAATGTAAAGGTCATTCTATCTATATTAAAAATAAAATCTTTGTGGGGCATATAAAAATTTTCTTAAACAAAAATTTTTTTAATTTAATATTGCAAATATAAGATAGCCACGCAATGCAGTTAGGCCGTTTGAAGTTAATTTGTTGGTTAACATCACCCCCCCCCCCCCCCCCCCCCCCCTCCCCCCCCCCCCCCCCCCCCCCCCCCCCCCCCCCCCCCCCCCCCCCCCCCCC